ACGTTCCAAAAAGGGCCTTACAAAGGCGTGCGCAGATGCTGCTGGTGAAGGACATCATGGGAATAGCTGTGTGTGTTCTGGGCAAGTAATTCCCTGAGCAGCCACGCGGGTTCACTGGATTACAAATATTTAGAAAATGAGTTTGCCATGTCAGGTCAAGTTTGAAAGAAGGATTTTCACTTATATTTATGATAAACTGAGCTTTAAACTGAAGGGTAGTTTAGATGTTTTAAAATTCATGAATTTGTGAATCCATGTACACAGCCAATTAAGGTTTATCACTACCATGGATTAACCATCTTTGGATAAAGATTTCAGAGGTTATTTGTATCTAGGTTGTTCACCTCAATGTATTACATCAGAATTGGTATATAATATTTAAAAGGAGGCATATTTCAAGGTAAATGTTACACTTCCCCAAAGTGAAATGGAAACACTATGCAGGAATACTGTAAGCAACAAAACCTTTACCTAATGCGACACCTGGATTTTTGCTGAAAGCTAATTCAACACGAAAATAATTTCCAAAACAAACAGGCCAAATGGATGGGAAGCAAAGGTTGAAATGCACAGCTCAGTGGAGCACCCAATCTTACAACCTGGCAAGTCAGGCCAAACTCCACAAGGAAAATGCAGGCCCTGAATTTTAAAAAGAATTAAATTAGCATCCCCTTCATTTCCATAATCAACAGCTGAATGCTAATCAAGAGCACAGCATCAAGCAGCGACGCAATCCCAGTACAAGAAGCAACAGTGCAGCAGCAGCCGAGCGCGGCCTTCAGCTCATAAACACAGAACCAGCGACTACTTGAGCACCGAGGGTGACTTAATTCTGTTTCGATTAGGTGCAGTTCAGCCTGGGGCCTTTGTGCTATATTTAAATGTGTTTATCATGTTTAATTGAAAACCTAATAATCTGGGGTCTCAGTTGTTTTTTTTTTTTTTAAGTTCTGATGTGTACTTTCTTCTTCTTTCTGAATTCCACTGATTTGGATGGCTTCTTGGGAAGGAATAATGTTTTTGGCATAATGTAAATGAAACTGGTTAACCATCAATATAACTCTCAAATGTGGCAGCCAGCCATTAACTTTGGGCCCCATCCTTGCCCATACCATGGTATTTAATGAGCTTCATGAACTAATGCAGCGTTTCTTCAAAAATGGCTCTCTGATCTGACCCAGTTTATGTAGCCTGAAAGACTGGCCATGAGCTAGCTACCAAGGTGTTTCTCAGAGTCACTCCGCTAAAGCCGAGTTCATTTGTCACTATGTGGCCTAGAATTTAACAGAAATTGGCACAAATCTGGCTTCAGATCCGTAAGATCTGAAGCGTCTCAGCCCCAAAGCAATTTCAATAAGAAATACCATATATATACACACACACCAGTCAAAGGAATTACTGAGAGTATGAAATGAAAAGCATCCTATTATTTAATTGAGGCCTAGTATCTCAAGAGTTAGTGATTACCTGAAAAACCTAGGAAGAGTAGGCTGGGTGATTTATTAATCATAATTTGGGAACATTTTCCAAAACTAAATCATTTAAGGTCAGCTTTGCATGCATTTAAAAGTTTTTTTCTTTGATTCTTATGCATAATTATTAACTATTACAAGTTTTAAAATGCTGGATTGAGGACAATCTTAATTACAGTGGAGAATCTTTCAAAATAAGCTGAATAGAGTATTGTCATTATTCTTCAAATCCCTCAGAGATAAAGACTTTATTCTGTACTAGACATTACTCTCACCATTAATAAGTTCTCACTCTTAGTTAAGTTTACAACCTAGGAGGACAGTCAACTCAGAAATAAAGACTGTGAGGAACCGAGAGCTGGTGATGACAGCACAGATGCTCGCGAAGAGGCAAAGCATTAGCTGTCCACAAATGATATAAACAGGAGATGCAACTCAGAAAAAGGAGCAATCACCGTGGGATGGGCAGGAGAGCTGTGCTAACCCACGAGGAACGGCTAGGGTTTGGGTTGGCAAGACAGAGATGCGCTGCTCACAGAGCAGCAGGCCTGCCAGGGCCAGGGGCACCGGGGAACTGCTCACGGTGCAGCCATGGACGCAGTGTCAGGTGCGCACTCCACCAACCCTCTCACACAGGGGTTCACAAAGGAAAACAACTTCATGAACACTTGTAGTTACATCATTGATACATTGGAAATCCGAGAGTAACCAGAATGTCTGAGTATACAGAAAACCAAGAGGGGGAAAAGGCAGGTAGGCCACTATGTTAGTCAGAACACACGCATGCTGCTTATTCCTGAGATTCCTGGGGTGAGAATATGGGGTAAATCCAAAGGAAGGGGCCACGTGCACACAGCAGGTATGCGTTCACAGCCAAAACCAGGCTAAGGCAGAAGGCCTTGTGGTCTATGTACCTTGTTGCCACATAAAACGATTCAGAGATCTGAATGGACACATTTGTCAGAAACTTCCTCTGGCCTATCAATTATTCAATCACTCTCTCTCATTCCCTTTTGAGGTTTTAGAAAGTGAAGCTTAACTTCTATAAATAAGGGAACCATTAGATCCCTAGGCACTGCAAGGACTCGATGGCTGCCAAAACATTTCTCAAAGCTTGCACTAAACCAAGAAGCAAACAGAAATAGGCCCAAACTGACAAGGAAGCATGCAGTTTGGCATCGTCATCCTGTCCTCAGCATGCGCAGCACTTGGAGTCATGTGTCATCTTTTGAGCAGGTTTTTCCCTCTGTGTAGGCCTCCCCTCTCCATTCCACCATCTGCTCAAAGTCCCTAAATGGCAGCAGCGGGACACATCCAGATTGGGCCGAAGCAAGTGCTACAGGAAAAGGAAGCCAGCTTTCTTTTGAGCAGGAAGAGCTTTCTTTTAAGCTGGAATTTTAAAATTTCAGAGGGAATGAAAGGTCATGGGGGAAATGAAGGGAGGGGAGAGTCACGTCTAGTGAAAAGGGAAGGACAGTGGGGGGTCAGGAAGGTGGAAGGAGAGGAGAGACCGAAGGGAAACGGGAGCAGGAAGGAAGCAGCCCAAGAACTGAAGGTAAGAATGAAATGGGTGGGTCACGGTACCTATATGGGCGGACAAGGACCTGCAGAGGGATCCTGTTTTAGTCATTCCATCCTGTTCATCTCCTTATGTCTTTCCGGAAAGGGTTTTTGAGGAAATTAAAATTTTTATCGATTGAATCTCTTATCTCCTCACATAAATAGGTCCGCAGTGAATAACATCTTTATGACTTTTCAAAACAACCAGTTTAATGTTTTTACAATAGCTATTACCTATTAATGGCTTAAACAAACAGTTAAGATGTTTCCAACTCCTCACTAATCATGTAAGATTTAAAAATTTTTAATTTCAAAACAGCAACACCAACTTCATCATAAGTCTGATAAACTTAGAGTTTTAAGGGACTCTTGGAAAGGCACTCTAGTACCAATCTTCAACCATTTCATTGCATCCCTCCTGTCTCCTAAGCTTTTGCCCCATTCTTCCCAAAATACTTGCTTTCATTCATAGCATTGCATCCACTGATTCTCTTGACTCTTCCTTCTACATACATCCAGGATCTCACACTTCTCACCACCTCTATTGAGTCACCAGTTTTGGCCTTGACACTCACGACAGCCCACAAAGCCCACTCTTGACACAGCAACCAGAGTGCGTGCACTGGCAGGGCAAGTCGTTCTGCTCAGAATCTGCTCATGAAGAGCAAACAGCAAGATGATGACAACGGCACAGGCCACAGAGCCCCCTCCCTCACCATGCACCTCTCCTTTCATTTCCCCTCCAGACACACTGCCTGCCTATTTCTCAAATATTCTAGGCAGGCTTTCACCTAAGAGCCTGGAATTCTCTTCCCTGTTGATGTCCAAAAGGCTCACTTCCTCACTTCGCGAAGTCTCTGCTTAAATGGTACTTACCAGTCCTGTCCTGAGACCCTTACAGAAGACAGCATCCCTACCTACTTTATTCCCCTTCCTCATTACCTATTTTGCTCAGTACATGTACCACCACCACACATCCACTGATTTACAGATGGCCTTCCCACTCTTATACAAGTCTGGTGAGGAGGGACTTTGTGTTCTTGATATGGCTCCTAGTGTAGCACCTGGTACATAATAAGCACTCAGTAAGTACTGCTGACAAATGAAAAGAGCAGGATCCGGAAAGTGCATAACATTTCTAAACATTCTTCCTTAGCACATTTTAAAATCTAGGCAAGGAACTTACAATCTATATGTGTATCAGTCAGTGCCAGTCTTCATCTTAATTTCATTCACCCTAAAGGGCAAGTGTCAAGTAGTAACACTCATATTGAAGATTGTATTTGCAAAAGCACAAGAAATCTGTAAATTTTTCATAGCAATACCTTTCAAAAATCACAAGATGGGGATGTAGCTTCATGAGAACTCTACTCTCCAGGGATACAAATGCATGGGTTTGCAAATCTGTATTTGTGGGCACATTTCCATCTCCCCCCATCTCTTAGTGGGTACAATGATAGAATGAATATTTGAAGATCCTCTGTATTTATTTAATCAAGTCTATGTTCCTGCTTTTGACTAACATCTTTCAGCAGGTTACAAATCCTGCCAGCCCTAAGAACATACACACGTCACGCGTCCTACTCTAGGTTACGTATCGACTGATTTTCAAATGCTTGTGTCTTAAAATAGGGAGGTTATCAAAAGCTGCCTTGATAAAATTTGCTAAAACCAACCAACCAATACTAACTTTAAAAAAAAGTGACTATCAATTTCTTCTCTCTTTCCACGAAATAGAGAAATCTTTCCTATTACTCAGAGAACTTCAGCTTATCCAAATTAAGGCTTTCTGTACAATAACAAGGAGTAAAGGCTTCTCCCTTGACTGATGGATGCCATGGGCAGCCTCGTACACCTGACTGAATCTTTGGAATGAGCCCCCTTCCCCCCGAGCAGCAGGGAGGTCACACACTGAGAAGCAATACCCCGATGACCCAGACCACAAGGCAAACTCCCGTCCAAGCTCACCACTTCGTCTTCGGTCCAGCATTTTTCAATCAGCTTGGGCACAGGCTTCTTTACCAGGCGCTGCAGGGCTTTGCCAGCATCATAACCGCTTTCATGTAACTAAAACAACAACAGCAGTTTTAGTTAGTTAATCATACCAAAATAACAGAACTGGAAGCAAATCGATAAAAGGGAAGCCCTACATTCACTCTCTCCGATAGGAGAACCATGGGATGGGCAGAGAGACTCACAGCCAGGTCAGTCAGCGTGACCGTTTGCTCTCGTCCAACCAGCCCAGCCCCCCAAACTGTTCTAGGAGAGGGAGACAGGTAAGGCAGCGAGTATTGTGGCAATAACAGGGAGAGGACTAAGGACAATAGCAAACCATTTACTGAACATCTGGCCCGGCACAGTGCTGAGCACACTCCGTGCACTCATGATCTACCTTTCTTAATCTTATGAGGAAGGAGTCCTCTCATTTAATCTCATGGGGTAGGAATCACTGTCAACCCATCTGCGGATGAGAAAGATCGAGTGAAAGTGCTCACCACACTAACCCAGGAGGCCGTGCCCTGTGGCTCAAGCCCAGCCAACATGACCCTCACTCTGTGCCATTCTCCCGAGGGTGGCCTAAAGAAATACTAGGTTATGTTCTTTCCCTTAAGCACTTGGAAGTTTTTCAACTGTAATAATTCCACTAAAAAATTTCAAGGTCTAAAATATAAGGGCTTTTTAAATAAACTAATTCTGTAACAGTATACTAACTTTGAGCACATATGAATAAAGATGCTGATTTATATATACATTCCTTTTAGTACCAGGCCTCTCTGGTCAAAGTGAATGCGCTTTTCACACTCCACATCCTTTTCAACCCCAAGCAGTACCTGGCACCACTGACCCCTCTCTATCTTACAAAGACACTCTGCTTTGGCTCCTGTGACTCTATCCACCCCTAGTTCCTGAGTCTGAAGTTGCAGACCATGGAGAGAAGTAGCCGGTAGAAGGGATTCTCCTGCTCAGTCTAGCTCCCTGAACCGTGGCTGTCCCTCCAAAATTCTAACTGTAAATCTGCCTTTCCTTTGCAGATCTATTATTTCTCTGCCACAAGAATCTGTTCTGGCTTGGACTTGTTTATCCAGTGCCTAACACAGTCTGTTACATAAGGTGATACAACAGAAATACTTGCTAAAATTAATAAATGCCTTCAACTATTGTCCTTGGGTAGATTCAACCAAAATCTAAATCTCTATTATTCCAATTCATTCAGTCTTTTGTTGACTGAGTGCCTATTATGTTCCAGGCAATGTACCCTGGGACCACAGCAGTAAACAAAACAGACAGGGGCATACCTGCCCTGGTGGAGTGGACATTCTGATCTTTTCACCTGTGCTTCAATCCCTTATTTGAACAATGTAAAACAGCACTTATTGAACGCTCAAACACAAATAAGGGACAAATCTGAGCAAGTTACAGTTTTTATTTCCAGAAAAGTCATAAACTAGTTATAGGGATACAACACATACAAGATGACAAGATCAAATCGGTTGTAGTAATTACTGTCACCTAGGTGTAGAAAAAGAGCTATAGACTCATAAGAATAGAGAGCCTATGTTTCCTCTCTTTAATAAAAATTCCTAAAAAGGATGCACAGACCGCCTTCCTAGCAACTGCTTTGCCCCAGGCTGGGCATATGGTAAACCTGCAATAAATATTTGTTGAATGAAATAAACATACACAGCATGTCTCTCTTTTAACTATTCAACTCTATTAGATGGTGTATCACAAATATCCATTTTCATTGCTCATTTAGCAAAACAGAAAGTATTAAATATTAAAACTTCCTGAGTATTCTTACAGTGTAGAGGACCACAATTTATTTTAAGTCCAAGGTTCTCCAAGGAAATCCAGGCTACATGTTAATTATAACAGTAAGTCAACTACCTTAAAACAAAACACCTACCACGACGATTGATGTTGGATCCTGCTCAGGGGGTACAGTGTGCGTGGGAGGGTCGGAGTGGGTGTTAATGACTGTACTAGATAGTAACTTATGTATGACATTAATCATTAGACTACTTTAGAAATAAAATGGTATGCCAAACTATAAATTTATACTAAATAAATAGCAAAATAAAATATTATAATATGCAAATATTTGGAAACTATCCAATCGAGCCTTCTTTCAGAAGTATAAAAAGATTTAAATACAGTTTGATCTCCATACTTTGCCTAATAGCCAGAGCGAGCAGATATTTGATATTTACCAAGCTCTAAAATATGAGGATCCATAATGAGAGCTTAACAACACAGATCAGAACTGAATGCAGGGAAAAACTGCATGGCTTTCTTTCAAAAAGTATACATTTTAGTGATAATCTGAAATAAGTTTAAGTTCATCAAATCATAAATTCTTTATAAAATTTATTAAGCCAATTAACATTTTATAAGCAGTAATTACAGTATATGGGGTCATTATAAGGAGAGTGATGAAAAACTATGGACTCTGAAGCCAGACTATCTAGACTCAAATTCTACTTCTACTACTTAGTAAGTGTGCAACCTTAGGCAAGTTATTCATCCTCTCTGGGCCTCAATTTCATCTTCTTTAAAAACGAGTATAATAGTGAACATACACTTCTTCAGGCTATTGTGAGAATAACATTAGAAAATCCACGTAAATTGCTTAGACTGTACCTGGCACATAGTATGCTGAGTGTTGGCCATTTATTTTTAGAAAAGGAAAAAGAAAAGGTCTCTACTCAATTTCCATCAGTTTTCTAGATCAGAGAACAGCCTTTTCAGAGAGAGGGAAAGAAAACACTGTTAAAAAATATAAACAAAAACTACTTATGTTTCACATAATTACTCATGTTAAAATTTTATGAAATCTGACCAAAACTCTAGTGCAGTGCACAGAAAAAATTTAAAGTGTTTAAATCTTATACATGATAACAGGAAATTACTCATAAGCTCATTCCAAAAGTGAACTGAGTGAATGAAGTCAAATCAAATGTCATTAATGCCTATGACATTCCTACCTCTCGGTGAACCAAGGAGAGCTTTAAATAATAGCTGGAAGAAATATTTTGAGTAACTTGTTGAACTTGTGGTTGTTTAGTGGAGTGGCTGACTACTGCCTACACAATGCCCCTTGGTTAAATTTCTAGCATGACTGGATTAGAGAAAAAGGCATTTTCCCCTAAACATACCCCAGCATTCATGCTTCCTTTGCAAATCTTTATTTCAGATCACACTTCCCCCTGAAGAAGCTGTGGCAATGTATGTGGAAAACGGCACTTCCCTCTGCTACTTTGTTCTCGAACTAACAGGTAATTCCTTCCTTTCATTTGATCCATTGTCTGCCTGTCCTCTTAAATACTCCTAATTCCTGATGGTTCTGGGATGCAAACCCAGTAAATCTTTACAGTGTCTAACTTCCCCCACTCCTATACAAAGACACATTTGAAAAGTAACATGTATGATTCTTTACCAACAGTGACAAAATACTTACTGAACAAATGAAGTTAGGGCATTACTGTGCTATCATCAGTAATTCATAAACGCTGGTACAAAAGCTGGGTCAAGGAGCTGTTCTGACCCGCTCTTTTCCTAGGGAACCACAAGGAACCTTTCTAAATAGTCACCTTCTCAATAGTACAAACATTTATTCCTACTTTCCAAGAGTCTTAGCTGAGAAAATTCTGACAGCCTTACATCTTTAATGAAATACTTTAATTACATTTTATTAAAGATACAGTTTTTACACACTACAAGTTTTCATGGCCCACATACCTTCACAAGAATGAAGATTACCTTTTGAACACTTTGGGAAAATTATTGGAGTTCACAACATCCTTCCACAAATATTTACTTAGTGCTAAACACTATTCTAGGTGCTAGGGATAGATATGGCTGTGAACAACATCAAGACAACGGACAGCGTTATCTATGACGCATGAAATGTATGACTAAGAGTGGTGGAACCTGTGCGAAATCAGCTTAAAGACCTGGTCTAGTACAACACATTTACCTAAATGTGCCATCCAGACTCTGGGGTCCTGAAAAGCAGGGTTCTACCTTCTCTGCTCAATCCCACGCATGAGTAAGCCCATCTTAAAAGGGGTTTATTTTATAGATGATTATGAAGGTTTTCTTTCTTTAGACTAGACCAAAATAATGTTTGAGGAATTACTAAACTGATACTTCAACAGTATTCCTCATGTAGAGTTGGTAAATTTACCAAAATACTGGCTATAAAATAAATCTCTAAAAATTGTCTAATAGAGCACTGAGCTCTGAAGGATTACAATAATTTCATCCTGTGAAAAACATGTGGGTTTTAAATTTGAAATACCCAATCATGACCACAGACATACGTCCATATAGTTAAGAAATTCGGTGCAGGATTCCCAGTACTGGTAAGGTATAAAGTCCTTTAATGTGAATACGATTTTCTACCATTGCCCTAGAGAATACTATTCAAAGAAATTGTGATGAAGATGGGCGGGGGTGGGGGGCTCAAATGTCTTACGGCCTCACCGTAAGGAACCAAGTCACAGCATCTTTATTACTCAACCAGCCTCCAATCTTTGTAAGTCACTGGTGGGGGACACCCTTAAATCTTGAGCCATTCCCCATCACCCTGCCGCCCACAAAGCAAGATGTCATTCAGGGGAACCACCGCTTTCAAATTCATCAACACGGGGGGTGTGTGTGTGCGTGCGTGCGTGCGTGCGTGCGTGCGTGTGTGTGTCAGGGGAACTCATCAACACAGGTGTGTGTGTGTGTGTGTGTGTGTGTGTGTGTGTGTGTGTCAGGAGAACTCATCAACACAGGTGTGTGTGTGTGTGTGTGTGTGTTGGGGGCAGGGCACAGTGTTTTGATCCAGTGATTAGGGAAGCATGTACTTTGTAAATCTGCCCCTTCCCCATCACTCAACTGCAAGTCTGCATTTCTACACAAGTAAAATCTGTCTTCCCCTAAACCCCAGGTCAGTATCTGGGAAATCTGGTAACAAAATGGAGATTCTTCATCATCCATTAACCTTTTAAGTGACTCCATCATGGACCTGTCCCTGTTTTGCTGTTTTCCAGTAGTATGTTCTTAGGTTCCCTGGGCCT